TCGTGGACAGATTTAGAGTAAAACCTCTCACTTCGCCTCTTCCTCTCTGGATGTACTGAACGACCAGTTGAAAAACTGGGAGGGGTTGGGTTGTGGGTTGGGTAACGCTGTTAGCATGGCCACTGCTAAATACGTCATTGCTTCAAACCTCACCTTGCCACACCCGACCAAACGGAACCAAACGTACCTCAAAGTCTGTTCAAGAACGTACAAGAGCATTTTGGGGCAACGTGTCGTTCAGTACAAACCATTCCGCCATGTAGCAAACATTCATGCGAACTGAACCCACCTCAGCTTGGGAGACGGCAAATGTACTGTCTATTGAGTCCAGCCATTGTGGTTTCATCTCGCTGTGATATTCTCAGCCAGATTTAAAGCTCTCAACATGAAAAAATAATAATGAAATAATTTAATAGAACTGAATGAAGACCCCTTTCTCTTGGTCACAGATGGACAAAATCACTTCGTGCTTAAAGCTGAAGTTGTAACAAGTCTGCACACATTTGAATGGTGTCTCTACGCCGCTCAGTGGACGTTTAGGAGAAAATTCTCTGTTGACAGTTAAATTAAATAGTGCCAATATTATACTGTCACTAAGTATGATCATATTTATTTTACAATTATAAGAAATGTAAATCTTATAGTAAGTCATCTATAATTTGATTGTAACTATATTTAGAAAGCATTTCAGTCATTTGAAAACCTATTGCCCCACTAGGGAAAAAATAATATAGGATTTGTGATATTTACAGTGGGGAAAAAAAGTATTTAGTCAGCCACCAATTGTGCATGTTCTCCCACTTAAAAAGATGAGAGAGGTCTGTAATTTTCTTCATAGGTACACGTCAACTATGACAGACAAATTGGGGGTTTTTTTCCTCCAGAAAATCACATTGTAGGATTTTTTATGAATTTATTTGCAAATTATGGTGGAAAATAAGTATTTGGTCACCTACAAACAAGCAAGATTTCTGGCTCTCACAGACCTGTAACTTCTTCTTTAAGAGTCTCCTCTGTCCTCCACTCGTTACCTGTATTAATGGCACCTGTTTGAACTTGTTATCAGTATAAAAGACCCTGTCCACAACCTCAAACAGTCACACTCCAAACTCCACTATGGCCAAGACCAAAGAGCTGTCAAAGGACACCAGAAACAAAATTGTAGATCTGCACCAGGCTGGGAAGACTGAATCTGCAATAGGTAAGCAGCTTGGTTTGAAGAAATCAACTGTGGGAGCAATTATTAGGAAATGGAAGACATACAAGACCACTGATAATCTCCCTCGATCTGGGGCTCCACGCAAGATCTCACCCCGTGGGGTCAAAATAATCACAAGAACGGTGAGCAAAAATCCCAGAACCACACAGGGGGACCTAGTGAATGACCTGCAGAGAGCTGGGACCAAAGTAACAAAGCCTACCATCAGTAACACACTACGCCGCCAGGGAGTCAAATCCTGCAGTGCCAGACGTGTCCCCCTGCTTAAGCCAGTACATGTCCAGGCCCGTCTGAAGTTTGCTAGAGTGCATTTGGATGATCCAGAAGAGGATTGGGAGAATGTCATATGGTCAGATGAAACCAAAATAGAACTTTTTGGTAAAAACTCAACTCGTCGTGTTTGGAGGACAAAGAATGCTGAGTTGCATCCAAAGAACACCATACCTACTGTGACGCATGGGGGTGGAAACATCATGCTTTGGGGCTGTTTTTCTGCAAAGGGACCAGGACGACTGATCCGTGTAAAGGAAAGAATGAATGGGGCGATGTATCGTGAGATTTTGAGTGAAAACCTCCTTCCATCAGCAAGGGCATTGAAGATGAAACGTGGCTGGGTCTTTCAGCATGACAATGATCCCAAACACACCGCCCGGGCAACGAAGGAGTGGCTTCGTAAGAATCATTTCAAGGTCCTGGAGTGGCCTAGCCAGTCTCTAGATCTCAACCCCATAGAAAATCTTTGGAGGGAGTTGAAAGTCTGTGTTGCCCAGCGACAGCCCCAAAACATCACTGCTCTAGAGGAGATCTGCATGGAGGAATGGGCCAAAATACCAGCAACAGTGTGTGAAAACCTTGTGAAGACTTACAGAAAACGTTTGACCTGTGTCATTGCCAACAAAGGGTATATAACAAAGTATTGAGAAACTTTTGTTATTGACCAAATACTTATTTGTGTGACTGTTTGAGGTTGTGGACAGGTGTCTTTTATACTGATAACAAGTTCAAACAGGTGCCATTAATACAGGTAACGAGTGGAGGACAGAGGAGCCTCTTAAAGAAGAAGTTACAGGTCTGTGAGAGCCAGAAATCTTGCTTATTTGTAGGTGACCAAATACTTATTTTCCACCATAATTTGCAAATAAATTCATTAAAAATCCTACAATGTGATTTTCTGGAGAAAAAAAATCTCAATTTGTCTGTCATAGTTGACGTGTACCTATGATGAAAATTACAGGCCTCTCTCATCTTTTTAAGTGGGAAACATGCACAATTGGTGGCTGACTAAATACTTTTTTTCCCCCACTGTATGCCCAAAACAATTGGGAAATTATATTATTTTATACTAATACAATTGGTCAGATAAATATATTTTGTTTAACAACTAATGCAAACATTTCTCAAAAAGGTAGGGGTCAAAATTATTGACACGTATTGACACAACATTTTTGACCTTTCAATACCTAACCTGGATAATGACACTGAGCCTTTTTCTAAAATGTTTTATGAGTTGGAGAACATATTGGGAGGGTCCAGTGACAGCTAAATAGACCCATAACGTCAAAGACCCACCACCATATTTTACAGTAGGTATGGGGTTCTTTTCTGCTTATGCATTCTCATTTCGACGCCAAACCCACCACTGGTGTGGGTGGCCACAGAGCTCTATTTTCATGTCATCTGACCAAAGCACCGGTTCCAATCCAAGTGCCAATGCCGTTTAGCAAACTCCAGGCATTTACATTTGTTGGATGACATGAAAATAGAGCTCTTTGGCCACGCACTGCAGTGGTGGGTTTGGCGTTGAAATGAGAATGCATAAGCAGAAAAGAACCCCATACCTACTGTAAAATATAGTGGTGGATCTTTAATGTTATGGGTCTATTTTGCTTCCACTGGTCCTGGGGCCCTTGTTAAGGTCATCATGAACTTTACCCAGTACCAGGACATTTTAGCCAAAAACCTGGTTGCGTCTGCCAGGAGGCTGAACCTTGACCACAAGTGGATCTCCCAGCAAGACAATAACCCCAAGCAAGCACACATCAAAATCCACAAAGAAATGGTTAATTGGCCACAAAATGAACATTTTACAATGGCTAGCTCAGTCTCTACGGACTTGAAACCCATTGAAAACCTATGGTTTGTATTGAAGAGGGCAGTCCATAAGCACAGACGAAGGATATCAAGGATCTGGAAGGATTCTGTATGGAGGAATGCTCTAAGATCCCTCCCAATGTGTTCTCAAACTCAATAAACATTTTACAAAGAGGCTCAGAGACGTTATCCTCGCAAGGTGAGGTCTTGAAAGGTATTGAAAACAGTGGTGTCAATCATGTTTACCCTGAGTGGCGCAGTGGTCTAAGGCACTGCATCGCAGTGCTAGCTGTGCCACTAAAGATCCTGGTTTGAATTCAGACTCTGTCGTAGCCGACTCCGACCGGGAGACCCATGGGGTGGCGCACAATTGGCCCAGTGTTGTCCAGGGTGGGGGAGGGAATGGCCGGCAGGGATGTAGCTCAGTTGGTAGAGCATGGCGTTTGCAACGCCAGGGTTGTGGGTTCAATTCCCACGGGGGGCCAGTATGAATTATTATTATTTTTTATAATGTATGCACTCACTAACTGTAAGTCGCTCTGGATAAGAGCGTCTGTGTCACGGTTTCGGCCGAGGCTGCCTCTCTTCCTTGTTCGGGCAGGCTTCGGCGTTCGTTGTCTCCAGAATACTAGCTGCCACCGTTGCATGTTTCTATGTTCGTTTGCTTTTGTCTGTTTGTTGTGACACCTGTTCTCGTTTAGTGTAATTAGTGTCCTATAAGTTTCTCGTTGTGTTTGTCTAGTGTTGTGTGTGATTGATTTATTTCTGTCGTGTGTTGTGCTTGTAATATTACTTATTCGCTCGGTTGAGCTTTACTCCACTGTGTTGGAGCGTTTTACGCACATGGTTAGTGCGCCTTTTGTTTTGTCGCCTTCGTGCGTAGTTTCGCCTTCGGGCAAGTTTGTTCGATTTTTCCTTGTTGGAAATTGCACTAAAGTCTTTTGGACTATACTTCGGTGTCCTGCGCTTGATTCCACCACTACACCCACCTACAGCATTCGTGACAGTCTGCTAAATGACTAAAAATGTAGATTGTTTTGTATTACTTGTTAAACAAAATCTCTTTCTCTGAGCAATTGTATTAGTATAAAATAATATAATTAATTGCTTTTGAGTGCATACAATATAGCTCAGTATTTGAATTATTTATTTTATACAGTCATTTCTGCTAATCTTTATCAAGGTTGTCAGTCATTTCGGGCCCCAATGTACCTCCATAATATCAATTCCCATAATTAAAGCACATTTAAAGCCTGTATCATTATAACACATATTCCAGGGAGAATATTACGAACTAGACCATAGAAACCTTTATAGAGATGATGATTGAAACTAACTCTCATGAAGAGGAACTTGTTCTTTCATACCAGATGTTTAAATACAGGAACTAGGTTTACTATGATCCTTCTATAACACCCATCCACATCAGAAATAGGCTTGTTACAGTAAAGAGGAAGCCTAAAAACTATTAACCGTTACATTGCTTTCATATTCCCCTCACATCCAGGCAGGAGCATTCAAACCCAGGTAACGACTTGATGTATTTTTTCATCGCTACATTATTGTGCTATCTTCACAAGGTACTTATTAGAGGTTAATTTTTTTAAACTCAGGAAACTTTTCACGTTTACAAATGATAGAGAAATTTAGCTGTAAATACTAACAGTGTGTGTGTGTGTGTGTGTGCAGAATGCAGGTGAAACTCATACTAATGGCATTGTGTGCAGTGGTGTCCTCTTTCAAACAACCACTGAGCACTGAGCTGGATGGCATCTGGGAGGAGTGGAAAACCCAACACGGCAAACAGTATGCCAAGGTTACTTAGAGCCTATGGCAAACACAGTATGCCAATCATTTTAGTTAATCCTAACTTTCACTTAAAGATGCAATATGCAGAAATCGCTCCATAATTTCCTGGTTGCTATAATTCTAATAGTTTGCCTAACTTCACTTCATGTGACAAAACAAGCAAGTATAGTGTAGAGAATCATTGTACCATCTAAACCTCTATGAAATATATTTTCCATAACCCAAAATATGTTTATATAAAGCTGTTTGAAGCTGGTGTACAAAACCAAAAGTAGAAGACGCAAAAACGAAACGTAAGAATGGGAGGCATAGAAATAGTGCACATTGATCTACCGCTTCTTAGACTTACTTTCAATGAGAATGACAGATCTATAACACACATTTCTATGTGAATTTGGTCAGGTGGCCCAAAAAGTTACATATTGCACTTTAAAGTCAAATATTGTGCCCAGCTAGCACATAATGTTCTGAGAACCATATGTTTCTTAGAGCTTGGTGAAAGCGTGGTTGTCCTATGGTTATTTTGCACACAACCTTCCCACAACGTTCTGGGAATGGTACAGGATAGTTGCTTGGCTTTGAAACATTCTCAGCACATTTAAGGAACTTGACAAAATAACTTTATTTTCTTGGTATTTCATTACTTTAACAGAACGTTTCCTAAAAGTTCAAACATGGTTACATTTTATTGAATTTTTGGTAATGTTCTAGGAACGTTCTCCAACTGGTTTGTTATTGGGAATGTTCTCAAATAGTTTAGAGAAGGTTAAGAAACAATGTTCTTCTGTGGGAATTTCAGTACTTCAACATAACGTTTCCTACAGGTTTCCTCATGGCTCTTTTAAAGTAATGTTCTCAAATTGTTCCGAGAACGTTAAGAAACAACGTTCTTCTGTGGGAATTTCAGTGCTTCAGCATTACGTTTCCTACCGGTTTCCTCATGGTTCTATTTAAAGTAATGTTCTCAAATCGTTCTGAGAATGTTAAGAAACATACTTCTATTGGAATTTCAGTACTTCAGCATATCGTTTCCTACAGATTTCCTCATAGTTCTATTTAAAGTGTTCTCAGAACATTAAGGTTCTCAGAACATTAAGAAAATGTTCCATAAAAAACACAAGAAAACTGTAGTAACGTTCAAAGAATGTTCTAAGAATGCTATTTAAAAACATATACATTCCGTTCTCAGCGTCAGCAAAACTCTCTCCATCCTCTATCTTGTTAAGTGTGTTCCACACCTGATCTTAATGAGTGCTTGTTTCCTTTGAAATAGGGTCTGTCTGAACAGACTAAAATGAACAGCTTTGTATGAATAAAAAAAAACATGGCATGCTTGCTCCATCCTGGTGGCGCAGTGGACTAATTCAATGGATAGAGACTAGAAATCATAGGTTTGAATCACACTGATGCCGAGTCACAATACAAAATAAATGTGTTTGCACGATTAATGCCTAAGCAAATACATTTCCATGTGTCCTCTCCTTGCTTGGAGTTCAAAACAGTTAACCCAAACTAAGCTAGCCGTCTTATTGAAACATTCAGTGAAAGTTTTAAGGAAATTATTTAAAAAACTCCAAATAACTTTGACATTTTGTTCAAAACATTCACAACGTTATTTAATTACCTTCAAATAACCTAGAATTTCCGTTCTCAGAACGTTAATAAAACTTCCCAGGAAAACATTCAGGGAACCATAGTAAAATGTTCTCAGAACCTCTCTGCAACCAATAAATTAACATTCCCAGAACAGGCAACATTTTCACTTCTGTTCAGTTTTACCGGTCAGGAAACGAATGCCTTCATGCCCATAACCAATGTGAAACCAAAATGTACGTTCCCACAACTTCCAAGGAACCAAGTGTGCTAGCTGGGTGAAAATGTGACTTAAGTGGAAGTTTAGGATGTGTTAAGATTTGCCCCATAGAGATTAATCATGACGTCAATAACTTGTGGGGCCTTTGGCTTATCTTTCTCAGGTGGACGAGGGCTTCAGAAGGATGATCTGGGAGACAAACCAAGGCCTCATCCGTCAACACAACCTGGAGGCAGAAATGGGCAAGCACACCTTCACCCTGGGAATGAACCAGTTTGGAGACATGGTAAGTCAAGCCACAATTGTAATTGGGCCAGCAATTGGATGAGCATGAAACATGAATTTAAGAAATATAAATAGGAAAGAGAGCAGCTTTTACAGAATGTTTTATTAAGTCCCAGATAAAGGGGAAGTTCAGTATTTTACAACTTAATATTAAAGAAGAGCTGAACCAAATAAACAACTTCTCTGGTTGAAAACGGCCTATGTGTCATCAATAGTAGTCATAAACATAAATTCTAGTGCCAAAATGGATTAAAAAGTGTAAGTAGGATAACTTTCGTCATAAAGTCAGTATTTTCCAAAACTGAGTTATGTGAGATTTAACATAACTTGAAATGTTATCACTACAGAGGTACATATTAGGCCTACCTGTTTCTCCCATTGAAGACATTAGATGTCAGTTCGCTCCAGCAAGACACAAAACATATATGACTAGGCAATATTGTGGGAAGTACTGTATATGCTGTATTGTAGTAATGAATGACACCCCCTGCCCCAATTTGTCTAGACCACAGAGATACAGTACAATGCAGATATATCTACACATTCATTGTTTTATACAATATTTAATCAATTTCTAGAATAAAAATTTTCCTGACTAAGATCGCGATCCAATAGGATGCCGAACCATTCTAGTGTTCTATTTAATTCTGTATTCCAGACAAATAAAGAGTACAACACCTTGCTGACAGTTAATGCTGCTGAGGAGGAGAAAAGCCTGGATGGGATCCCCCTCTCTGAGTGGAACAGCAGTCTCTCAGCAGCTCCCGAGACGTGGGACTGGCGTCAATATGGATATGTGACTCCAGTGAAGAGCCAGGTTGAAGAGCAGCCTCTTTCATTTGTTCTCTCTCACTTTGGGGGCGAATCCTAACTTCTACTTAAGTCGAAGTTTCACTTAGTCTCCCATTGACATCATGCATGACTAAGTAAAAATGTGACTTAACTGGAAGTTAGGATTCTCCCCTTCATTTTTCTGTTATTGTACAGATTGACACTGATATAGAAAGGATTAAAGGAGTGGGTAGTCTAGGTGCCACTTATTAGACATGACATGAAAAGCCACTTTCTATGCATTTAGAAAGGTGAGAAAACTGTTGAGGTAGTGGCCTGATATGATGAGTAGAGACAGGAGTTTTTCCTGAGCACTTTACCAGGAAAAACATGCCGCCTTACTTCTAGGGGATAACTTCAAAGCACAATAGGGGAAATAAAACTTGTATTTTATTGTGGACTTTGCTATGCATTTACTTCTAGGCAATAAACTTCAAAGCAAACAGAAGATCTGAAAATTATTTTATTTGATCTAGGGACATTGTGGACTTTGCTATGCATTTGCTGCAGTCGGAGCCCTGGAGGGCCAGTTGTTTAAGCAGACAGGCATATTGTTGCCTCTGAGTGAGCAGAACCTGGTGGACTGCAGTGGAGACTATGACAATAACGGCTGTGACGGTGGCTTGGCCATGAGGTGTTTTAGTTATGTCTCAGATCATGGGATTATGTCGGAGAGGAAATATCCTTACACTGCAGAGGTACAATACAATATGTTACCATTAGGGTTGCAAAATTCTGGTAACTTTCCCAAAATTCTCAGGTTTTCCAGAAATTCCAGTTGGAAGATTCTTGGAATCAGGAGGGAATAACCAGGAAACCAGGAATCCTCCAACTGGTATTTCTGGAAAAAGTGGGAATTTTGGAAAGTACATAGAATAGATGAGTGAAAAGCTCACTGTAAAGCTTGAGATGATCAAAAATAAACTGTTTTCAGGTGGGCCCTTGTAAATACCAGAATGCAACAAAGGAAGCCTGGTGCAAGGGCTTCAACAGAGTTCCTTCTCTGGATGAAAAGACACTTTGTATGAGGTCGGCCCTATCGCTGTGTCTGTGAATGCCAGACATCCCTCCTTCAAACTCTACAAAGATGGTGAGCTTGGTGTCACACTCCTATGATTAGATGTGAACAAGTATACATGTACATTCATGTCAAGGGTACGCGCTCCAAAAAGAGGTCATAGATTATCTCTTTTGAGATTGTAGTAGTTTGACTTTACTGCATGGACTCTTCTGCAAACGTGTTACTACAATTTTAGGTGTGAACCATTAAGCAACATATAAATAAGAAGAGAAAACAGCCCTAGTCTTACCAATACCAGGTCATGTTTAACCTGCTAGTTTGAGGAGTACAAAGTGTCATTGTTGACAAAGGTTTACAGCCCAGGTTGGTCATACAGTGAAAGAACTCATACTTTACACATGGAGACACATAACAAAAATTACTTTGGAAACACTTTACTTAAAGCATCCAGGCATAACTTGTTATAACCATGTATGAGTCTTTATAATGTCTTATATCAAGGCTTATATTATGTCTTTCTATGCATACATTTTCAACTGGTCATTTAGCCCGTATCACTATGAAATTATTATAATGTTAAGGGGTCATACATCATCATGACAAGTCGTAATGCATTATAACCGCATAATGCATTATAACTGGATGCTTTACGTAAAGGGTTACTATTACCTCTATTAAATTGTAAATAAATACATATGAATTGCACATTAACTTTTGTAGTGTTTCTTTAGGAGTCATCTACCAGCCTGACTGTTCAACAAGAACCAACCATGCTGTACTGGCTGTCGGGTATGGTAGTTACCTGGACTACTGGATTGTGAAAAACAGGTCAGTGTTTACTTTGACAGTATAAAGTCATCCAACAACTCAATATTAATGACATAGGGCAACCTTTTCGATGCAGAAAATACAGTAAAACTCATCATAATCTGCCAGTGTGATTTAATTCGACACTTTTCTTCAGCAATTTGTGTTATAAAAAGGCCACCATTTACGCATTGCTCAGTTTACAAAAAATCTAGTTAAATAATCCCCATTTTATAACGCACACTGTCGAAGAAAAGTTCAAAATTAAATTGTACTGCCAGGTTTTAATGGATTTTAATTGTATTCACACGTCATGTACATATCTAATGTAAATGTACACACACTCGGTACTAAGTACTCTTTAATTTCTCCATTGGTTTTGCAGCTGGGGGACAGGTTGGGGAAGAGATGGGTACATTCTCATAGCCAGAGGATACAACCAGTGTGGTATTGCCAAACACCCAGTCTACCCTATTATGTGATTTGTGTATGTTGACACACTTGGAATCTTAGCTAGAGATACAGTGCATTCGGAAAGTATTCAGACCCCTTGACTTTTTCAAAATGTTGTTACGTTACAGCCTTATTCTAAAATGTATTACATATTTTTCCTCAACAATCTACACACAATACCCCAAAATGACAAAGTCAAAACAGGTTTTTATAAATTTTAGCAAAGTTATTAGAAATAAAAACCAGAAATACCTTATTTACATAAGTATTCAGACCCTTTGCTATGAGACTTGAAATTGAGCTCAGGTGCATCCTGTTTCCATTGGTCATCCTTGAGATGTTTCTACAACTTGATTGGAGTCCACCTGTGGTTAATTCAATTGATTGGACATGATTTGGAAAGGCACACACCTGTCTATATAAGCTCCCACAATTGACAGTGCATGTCAGAGCAAAAACCAAGCCATGAGGTCGAAGGAATTGTCCGTAGAGCTCCGAGACAGGATTGTGTCGAGGCACAGATCTGGGGAAGGGTACCAAAACATTTCTGCAGCATTGTAGGTCCCCAAGAACACAGTGGCCTCCATTGTTCTTAAATGGAAGAAGTTTGGAACCACCAAGACTCTTCCTAGAGCTGGCCGCCTGGCCAACCTGAGCAATCGGGGGAGAAGGGCCTTGGTCAGGGAGGTTACCAAGAATGTCGTGGTCACTCTGACCCATTGGATGCAGTGATCAAAATATAGTGGCTATATCCAGGAAAGCCAAAATTCCAACAGATGGGCCTAAAATAGTGTATAAGAGATCATACAAAACATTTAGCTGTGACTCATATGTGGATGATGTAAAACATATTTGTTGGTCTGATGTGATTAATAAGGAGCATCCAGATGCTGCACTTGATGAATTTATGAAATTGCTTCTTCCAATTATTGATAAACATGCACCTGTTAGGAAACTGACTGTTAGAACTGTTAAGGCTCCATGGATTGATGAGGAATTTAAAAACTGTATGGTTGAAAGAGATGGGGCAAAAGGAGTGGCTAATAAGTCTGGCTGCACATCTGACTGGTTGACTTACTGCAAAATGAGAAATTATGTGACTAAACTCAACAAAAAGAAGAAGAAACTGTATTATGAAGCCAAGATCAATGATATAAAGAATGATGGAAAACAACTTTGGAGTACTTTAATGAATTATGGTTAGAAAACATCTTTCA